CGTTCTAAAGGCCCAGATGTACAGCTCACCCCTCGCCATCATCCTCCCCCCAGCAGCCCCAAAACTGTGGTTTCAGGCAAGCCCCAGGGCGAGAGCTTCCCTCCCCAAACCAGAGCTCCTGCCGCCAGTTGTCCACGCACCAACAGTAAGAAACACAAGGGCACTGGGAGCAGAGTTAAGTTTGCTTGGCAGGGAGGGGAGAGCCAGGGCACCGGGGGTTGTCCACGACCACCCCACAGAAAAACCCCCGTACCCCAGCTCTACCCAACGCTATCTCCAGAAAACTAAACAGGCGTAGCACATACTTTCTTCAGAAGATACATCCCATTTCTCAGGGAAGGCAAAATTCCCAGCTGCGAACCAGCCTTCCTCTGAACACTGTCATTTCACAGCACCAAGTCTATCACAGTGCCAGCAGGGGCCAGCTCACCCCTCTGCCATCACACCGAGCAAACCAGACCTGTCACCGGGGAGGTGACAGGAATGCTGGGCAGCTCCCCAGTGAACCTTTGCTTTGAGCAAGTCCCCTCACCATCCCAATGTTAACTGTGCGACCTCAGCACAGCCAGTTCAACATCTGCACATTTTTTTATGTTCCACTTTGTCATTTCAGTCTTTTTTTTTTTCTTTTAATGAGACATGGAAGTTCCTGAATCACCTACCTGGCATCACAACTTGGAAAGTTTCTCACAGCCTCACTTGGTAAGAAGTGGCTGACTACGCTGCTACAGAGGTAACGGTGAACGCATGGGAAAAGGCAGCTTTCAAAAGACGTTTTCTTTGCTGTGGATGTGAAAGAGTTCTTCCGAGCCAGCAGAGAATGCAACTATTTCAGATGGAAATCTATTGTTTATTACTCAGGACTGACAGTAAAGAGGACTAAAATTAAAAACAAAAATTATCCAATGATGAACAGATCCATTTTGCAGTATCATCCCCAAAACTCATTTTGGCAGTCTGTCAGAACAAACATCCTGACTTCGAGCAGCAAGACTGCAGCGAGATCTAGTTACATAGAGATGTGTTTTTCCAAAGGTGTAAGAATTGTATTGTTTGCATCAGTCTTTATTGGCTCTGAATAAAAACCTTGTCCTGAAAGCCTCCAAGTTCAGATTCTAAAGAAGGGCAATTATAGTTTAGTCCCCCACACACAGAATTTTCAACTACATGTGACACAAATAACATTTACTTTTTTCCACTGTTTATATTCTTACGCAAATCTAAATGCCAGCAAGGATGAAGAGAAGACAAGAAACCTACGCAGAGAGACTCTACGCTGACACACGGACAACACAAGGACACCAGTGACACCATCACTTCCTTTCTACAAGGGAAGATTTTCTTTTTTTTCCTATTTTCAGCATTCACATAAAAACTCCAAACCCTGAAAATAAATACCTGTCTCACAGCGCTTCACAAGCACCCTGAAGAAAACTATCTACAAATCATACATTCAGCTACTCTGTCACTTTCAACACTTCCAACAGTCGCCACTTTTACAAGTCTGAACTTCCACAGCTGGGAAAGTTGTGTGAGAGCTACAGATTTCAGGAGCAACACTGCTTATCCTCTGAACACCCTGTCCACTATGAAGTGGCTTCACCAAATACTGCTCTACAGATAGGAAAAGCTTAAGAGATGTGGGCAAAAGAATCACTGTCAGACTCAATGCACAGCTTCCCTATTGCGGAAAGGAATTCCCTTTACCTTGAAACAACTCAGAAACAGTCAGAGTACAGTCTGAACACTGACCATGGAACTCTGGATCCCATGCAGATCAGTACAAAGGAAGACCAGAATTTCACCCCTAATATATAAAACCTTGTAGAGAAACATTAGTAAACAAAGTTTTCAAGAGTCAGGAAAAACTATAAAAATTCCTTTTAAGTCATAAAAACCATTTCAATGTGAAATTTGTAAAATATCACCCTATTTATTCTCTAAGCTTTTCTAGCAACATAGGACTTTATCATAACGTATCTGTAGAAATCTGATAATTAAGAAACAGTATTTTTTCTTAAATGTAGTTACTTAAACATTTGCCAGTTTGAAAGTTCAGCTGAAGTCTCTTTACAGAGCAAAAAATTGCACACAATTTTCAACCTTTTCACTTCTGATTCTCCATGTCATTGAGGGTACGGCACATAACAGTCTGGAGGGGAGCCAATGCTGCTCTCTGGGCTCTGGATATTTGACTCATAAGAATTTGGAACAATTCCAACCACACCATCATTTTGAGGGGTTTCTCCTTTCAAAAAGTCATCATCTTCATCTTCAGAAGTACCCTGTATAAATTTAAAAAAATCAGTGAGAGCAGAAAGATACTCCAGGCCTCTATTAACATTTGACAGAAGTAATGAATGCTAAGACAAAAAAGAAGGCATTTCTAAAATAAATTCTGAAATGTTGCAATAATCAAATCTGCTGAAGGAAAGAAAAACACCATTTGAAGGACTCAAAAACCTGACATGGGATAGACGTTCTGCAAGAAGGTAAACAGATTCCACAGGAGCTTTAGAAGGACACAATTCAGGGTTTGGGTTGTGCTACAATTGTCATGACTAGCTGGAATGGTAAGAGAATCAGATGTACACTTATTATGAAATACGGGAACTAAATCACATTTACAAAGCAGAATTCCCAATGACATCAGCGCGTCCATATTCTGAAAGCGTTCTCAAGTGGTTTGTGCTGCCAAACTAACTCCTCTGCAGAAGAGGGGAAAAGTGTTCTCAAGTCAAGGGTGGATCAACCCCTAAAGCTTCCTAATTCCAATCAGTTTCCCCTAAATATTTAGTCTACTCATATTTACTAAAAAAGAATCAATCCTGCAATAGAAGCAGCGAGAGACAGAGATTTGGCAAAAGCTGAACTGCATTTTGATCAAAACCACTACCTTTTTAATGGGTTTCTTCAGATTCTCAAGATCTTCAGCACTCAGGTCTTCCCAAAACTGGTAAAAAGGATCGATGGTCTTCTTTGATCTGAAAGAGGAATTAAAACACAGTATGAGTTAATGTATTCAGTAAAAGCTGTATGCATTTCATTTTAATAATGCAATATAAAATACTTGGCATTTTCACAAAACCCTCTGTAGGGTTTTACAAACTGTTCAATTAATTCCTATATAATCCCCAATTAATCCCACGAAGAAATAACTCCATTTTGCTGATAGGTATAAACTGAAATTGTTTGCTTGAGAAGTTCTGACACAGCCAGGTCTCACAATTCCTAGCTCAGTATTTTTAACAGCTACACTATGCTTGCAAATAAGCATAATTTTCTTACAATTTTAAAATATAACATTAATATTTTTATTAATATTACTTAGTATATAACCTTATACAATTGTGTTCTTTACTACATATTACTATAATTATTAATATGAATAATTGCTACTTCTAAGAAAGGTCTCCCTTCTGTGGAGACGGATGGTTTTTTTAAGGACCAAAAAAGCCAGAAAGTTGCCCTCTAACATTAAAAAGTGATTAAAGTGTCATAGTGCTAGACATTTTGAGAAACTGCAAAAAAATCCACTATTCATTAAAAAAGCAAGGTATTTTAAATAAGCTGAAGTCTCCAATCAAGAGGCAATACACCCAAAGTGCAAAAAACTCAAACCAAAACAAAAAAATGACACAACCACCATAGCCCCAACAAAACATGTTGGCTAACATTATGGTATTTTGGAGACTGCTTAAAACAGGAAAACCAAAAGAAAAGTCACCAAACATACTAACTAGACCCTCCAAGAAACTGGATCCTGTTCCTTCTTCATTGCTACATGTCACAGTGGGGGTAAATTTCAACTCAAACCTTTGACAACCTCTGGTTAAAATATGCAACGTGAAAGGTACTAAATAGCAGGGAAGAAAGTGAACAGTAGAAACACTGACAGTCTCTTACAGTTTTAGTTCATTATTTTCTACAAGGCAGAGATGAATTGTTTATTTTTGAACTATACCTTTTGAGCATGTAGGGATCGAAGGGGAAGAAACTGTCAAGCGGGTTAGTGCACGTCTGCACAAGGTCACCCCCACTGCCACTGCGAACAACCGGTATGAACTGCCTGTTGTTCCTCTCAATAATTGTGTAGCAGAACACCAACTGGTATTTCCTTTAAAAAGGTAATAAAGAACAGATAAGCATTTCTAGCACATTGAAAGCAAGAATTTCAGATGGTATTAAAATACGAAGCTGTATTTTAACAAACACAGAATCATAGTATCATAGAATCATCGAATGGTTTGGGTTGGAAGGGACCTTAAAGATCATCCAGTTCCAACCGCTGCCTTGGCCAGGGACACCTTCCACCAGACCAGGTTGCTCCAAGCCCCACCCAGCCTGGCCTTGAACACTGCCGGGGAGGGAGCAGCCACAGCTTCTCTGGGCAACCTGGTCCAGTGTCTCACCACCCTCACAGTGAAGAACAACTTCCTTGTATCTAATCTAAATCTCCCCTCTTTCAGTTTGAAACTGTTATCCCTCATCCTATCACTACACTCCCTGGTAAAGTCCCTCCCTATCTTTCCTGTAGCCCCCTTTAAGCACTGGAAGGCCACTATACAAGAATGTCTCCCTGGAGCATTCTCCTCTCCAGGCTG